CACCAGTAGCACCAGTATCTCGTATACTCTCCACACAAAAAGTCGCAAAAAAGTTCATCTTTCAACGCTCATATCTCAAAGACCGTATACCTACAAGATCTCGTCCCATTTAAAGGTTGTTCAGAATTAAATCTTCTACAACATATCAAAAAATGGGTAAAATCCATAGAGCCCAAAAATCCCATGTTAGGTGTGCGTTATCCTTTCTCAGAGAACAAGTCAACACAAAGGAACATAAGATTAGGTGTAACTTAATTAACAGATGTTCTAAAACAGTGGTTCCCAACCTTGAAAGTAGCCCGGACCAATTTTGCCAAATCAGGATTTGCGCGGACCAGCAGCGGCATACTTAGAACCTTGGGGTGAGGCAGAGGGATACAAAAATGAAGGAAGCTCGCCGCAGGCGCCGTCGGAGTTAGCACGAACCCACAGTGATGAATTGGCATGTTCGATATGATTATTCCTATGTCGAGTGATCTCGAGCGGATTCGTGACGTCAGTACTATTTTTGAAAACAATTTCTAAAGAATAAATTTAAAGCACTAATAATTTCAAAGATACTTAGGCTGGTGACACACTGGAGAAATAAGTTTCTTGAAACTTGTTCCAAGAAACTGGAAATTTGTTTCATTACCACACTACACATACCGGAGCACATGGGCGTTTCCGAAACAGGAGAGCAGAAATTGTTTCGCCAGTGTGCTCCGACTCATTTGAATGAATGTGTAGTGTGTCTGTTTTTTTTTCTTTTCTGTTTCTTGCAATAAGTTTCATGAAACTTATTTCCCCGGTGTGTCACCTGCCTTATAGGAATATTATTAGCTTGATTGAAAAAAAAATTAAACATTTATATTTTCAAAACAATAATGTTTTAGAATTCGTCTTGTATCAGTTCGCGGACCACTTCAAGTTTTCTCGCGGACCACCGGTTGGGAACCACTGCTCTAAAACATCCACTTCCAGATCGTTAGCATTCATAAGTATTCTATTTAATGAAGAATAGTGTCCATAATTTGTTCGATGACGTTGTAGTTTGAATGCATTAACAACCCTCAACTGTCTCGGAGGGACATAAATGGGTATCAGTGCTCAATCCTATTCTTCTGAACCTGGTAATGGGGTGACCAAACACAACAATTGCTTTCAAAATTAGACCTAACAAGACTATTATAGAGGGTTTTTAAAGTATAAACATTTTTGTTGAAATCTTTATGGCGTGTCTTTTCACAAATCCTAATATTTTTAAAGCCTTATTACATTATCATTGTATAAAAAGGCTGATATTATGTAGGTAGTCAATGTAAAATGTAATTAATAAAATGTTAACTCATTATCAAATTTAACTTGTAAGTATTTTGTCAGATTTACATTTACTGTTGTGTTATGTTTATATGAATGATGAATGGCACCTTGTCTGTTCTTGAGGATGGGAAAGGGGAAATACATAATATTGCAGTCTACTATTATCTTTGAATATTGATAAGACCAAATTTGTTGCTTTCTATGCATTATCGAAATCCTTGTTGGATTATCATAGTATGTATAAGGATTGCATTATACTCTGGTGTGATTTGGATTTATAGTCAACTATGGTTGGTTTGATTTCCGCTATGCAGGCATCATACTGTTTCCATGTTTGTTTATATTGTGTTTTTTTTTTTTAATTAATGGCTGCACTAATTGTTGTTTATATTAATTTTTGCTTTAAAGCAATAATTCAAATAATTGTCGATAATTACTAGGCATAGACTATTACTAGGTTAATGACAAACTATGTATATCTTGTCACTAGAGGACTACTATAAAATATTTCCAAAGAATACCTAATCAAACGTTTCATCATATTCAATTTTTATTTTCAAGATACTTATTGGCCGGGTACTTATGGTTCTAAAATATAGTTGACACAATGATACAAAGGATTTACTAATGACAGATTTTGCTGACCGATTTTCTCTTTTCGGGGATTTCAACCACTGAAAATTATGTCAGTGCTGAGCTTAAAAAATGGAAACTTAGAGACCAGACAACTGCTAGGCATATGGAAAAAAGGAAGGCTATTTTATGTTACAAGATATTATGGATTTTATATTAGCCAGGTTGTCTTGGATAGTTTATAAACTAACCAGCTATTTTAGTTTTCCCAATGTCCCGATGTCAAGTAAATTAGCTAAGACTCTTGGTTAGCTTGTAAACTAGCTGCTATATTAGTGGGAATTTCGTTTTCTATCTATCTATAGGGTTGGTTAGTTTGTAAACTAGCTGAATAGGTTACAAACTATCCAAGTTTACATATTAGCCATAACAGAAGGGTTTTTATTTCAAAACTTACCACGCCTATTATCTCAGAGTTGAAAAATTTTCGAAAAAATCGCTGAAACACGTCAACTATAATTTGAAGGGGGATGAGTTTTTATGCAAAATTCACTTCCCCCTTTCAACCCCCAGCCCCAGAGCCACCTCCTAGAAAGTCTTAAATGGGAAGGAGGGTCAAGTGATACACCATTTTGGAGGGTTTTTAATTCCATACATTTTGGTACTAAATTTTGATACCTTAGTTCAATTGTTTTGGAAATATTGACAGTTGAAAATTTACTTTTTTGCAACTTTGACAAGCTGTAAAACCTAAACGGTTAATTTTAGAGCAAAACCGATCTTACATTCTTATCTTATAGCGATTTCCATTTGTCAATCAGTGCACACTGAGTGTATCCGCATCTTTTTCTAAAAGCATGTAACATGTAAGGATGAGGATACATTTTTTTTTGCAATGGTTCGACAAATGGAAAACGCTATTAGATTTTCAATATTTTCATACACTATCATTTGACATCAACTTTTAATTTAATCCTTGATTGAAAATTCCAATTATATTTTTAATCTCCAGTTAAATTCAAAGTTGGTGTCACATGATAGTGTATAAAAATCTAAGATAAGAATGTGAGATCGGTTTTCCTCTAAAAAGACTTTAGGCTTTAGACCCTGTCAAAGTTTCAGTTTTCAAGGTATAGGGTTGGCAGACGTCCCGATTTTAACGGGACAGTCCCGATATTGGAGATTTTGTCCCGTGTCCCGATGGACGATACGTCGGGACGCTAAATGTCCCGATTTCCCGAATTTTTTTAAAAGTTGGAAAAATTTGAAATTTCAAAAAAATAAATCGCTTATTTTTTAGTTGTAGCTACCTGTTAATTATCTATTACTATATTATCAAGATTTTTTTGGTTTCGACGATTTTGCATTATTTTTTATTTTCAAATTTTATTAGAAGTTATTGTTCAGTTTTATTCGAGGGATGTGTCACTCATGAAGTAGGTGTACAAATTTCATACATTCATGTATATGCAGTCCATACATTCTCATGCAGTCATAATACAGTCACATGCAATCATAATACAGTCACTCGTACAGTCACTTGCAATAGTGTACATTCCATATACATTTGCGAAAAATCGTAAGCAGTCGCTGCGAGTGGAGCCCGTAATTTTGTTAGATATTGCTCAAAAGTAAATGCAGTCAACTATCATCTTTGATGCAATCCAATCAATGCAGTCAGATACAGTAGGTGTATAAAATTTAGTGGGTGAAACACCCCTTGGTTTTATTTATTTATTTCCTTTATATTAAATTATTCCTTCAAAAAAAAGTGTTCCGATTTTTATTCAACGTCCCATTTTTTAACAGCTTTTTGATTGGTATACCCGATTTATAGATATTCCAATCTGGCAACCCTATTTAGGTACCTATTAAGATTTAGTACCAAAATGTATGGAATTAAAAACCCTCCAAAATGATGTATCACTTGACCCCCCTTCCCATTTAAGATTTTCTAGGGAGTGGCTCAGGGGCTGGGGGGTTGAAAGGGGGGAGGTGAATTTTGCATAAAACTCATCCCCATTCAAATTATAGTTGACATATTTCAGGGAATTTTTCGGAAATTTTTCAACTCCCAGATAATAGGGGTGGTAAGTTTTAAAATGAACACCCTGTATATGTATGTATATCATTTACACTTTTTGATTTATTTATTTTTTTCTTCCTGATGGTTTCTCATTATCAGGCATCTTAACAGTGGAGTAGGTTAGTTTACCTATCCCATGAAAGAAAAGAGACCAAAAATTCAAGGTTAATTTTTAGTGTCACAAAAGGTATGTTCTCACAGAAATCACAAACCATTCAGAGCGTTTTTGATTGGTGCAAATCGCCAACAAACAGTTCTCTGACTATTTCCAACCAATAAAATTCGGTTGGACTGGTTTGTGATCCCTGTTAGAACACGAACAGACCTAATGACACAGCAAAAAATTGACTCAACCTTTTTTTTCTAGAAATGTAGACATATCCATGAATATTAGAAGTTATATCAACTACTATAAAATTCCTAGTCCTAAGTCCTAGGATTAAGGATTCTTGTCTTGAGTTATAAATTTCAGGTTCAACAGGACAAGGACAGGGAAAGAAAGCCTTGTCCTAGGACTTTCAATTCAACTAAATAGAAACTAGGTAATAAGCAAATCCTGACGATTTTTGAGAAATTTTCTATACATTCAATTCTTTGATTGCTTTGAAAATCCAATAAGAAAAAAACACTAAAAACAATCTCTAATCTGAGGGTCAAACGGTCATTTTCCTAAAACACTTGACAACAAAACAAAGAGGGTGTCTTTTTTTTTGTGGGAATGTCAACGTCATTCGTCAATTACTTGATTGACACTCCCATTAATTTTGCTTATTAAAAAATGCTAAACAAACAGGAATAATTGAAGCATGCTTTGAATAAAACCCATCAAAAATTTTACTCTATTATCACCCAGGTATAAACAAACGAAATGCCAGCAACCAAATAATCCGTAAATGAAAGGCAATGAATGAGCCAGCCATGATGTTTATTGGTCTACGACAGGCCACTTTCAAATTGAATTATACCATGGAAAATGACTTACAAGCTAAAAATTGACTTTAAATTTCTAATCTAAATAGAAGCTAAAACTCACTGTTACCTCGATCACGTTAATTTCTAGCCAGACAAACTTCATTATACGAAAAACTTTAGGTACTGCTCGATCAAAACGACGCCAGAAACATCATGGCAGACGCAGGTTTTGTGTTGACAAAATGAAAATTATATTTTTTGTCGAGTTTTGGAATTTACCCGGGGCTCGCTACGAGACGAGGGTACTTCGCGAAGGGCAAATTAAGGCATGGGAATTTATTTTGCGATTGTCCCTTTATGATATTGGATATTGTAGTTTAAATTGAGGTATTCTTAAAAAATCGGCATTTTTTGCCACAACCCACAACATATTCCTCGTATTGAATTGCTTTTCGTGGCTCCATCTGTTGAAGAATGGCTTAAAAGTAGAGAACGATTTTGAAACATCAATAACGCATTAGCGTAGTGTGCGTGACGAGCGACAGATGACGCCACTTGTCACGTATTGAGTCACTGTAGTAGTCTCAAAATAGTCAAAATTAAAAATAAAAGTCAAAATGACATTAGGCTATTTTCCGCGAAATAATTTTTCCAAAGGTTATGTTCGAATATGTTGAGTAATTTGAGGATTACCCAATGACATTTGGATTACTCAACATAATCGAACGAAATGTTCGGAAAAATTATGTCGCAAAAAATAGCCTATTATGTTGCCAATACAATACTTTCAACTTTCTTACGTAGAAAAGGCTTGTATTCCCAGCATAGTTACTAAATTTTAGACTTGGGGAATAGGGTACTTGCATAGAAAATTAAATTGATTATTTGTTTATTGCAATTACAAACTGTAGAAAATCGAAAAAAAATCGTTACTTTTTTTTTAATTTCGCCCAAATATAATTATTCCGGAAGTTATACATATTAAGTTTTGCATAATACCTATATAGATATACTGAGCACGTGCAACATCTCTAATTTATATGATAAGTGACGTCATAGGCATATTTCATAGCGTTGTATATCCGTCAATTTTTGACTAAGAAGAAAAGGAAAAAACACGTGTTGACTTATTTTTCATGGACTATCGAAATCAGCAATAAAAAAATTTGATGCAAGGAGTCTATTATCTTTAATTTTTGGACAGACTATACAGTGACTCAATACAATAAACAATAAACCTTCAAGACAGTGGCGATAATAGAGGTCCGCCGCCATATTCTTTGCTAATTTTAAATATTTCATTGGTGGATATAGAAGTAGGCCGAGGCTATGCCCCCGCGCCGCACAGTGATGCGGATTTGAATTCTAGCGGGACAAAACCTCAGTAGCATTTTTTTTAGACTTGAATATCAAAAAATAGTATCCATATGTATTTTTGTAGTGTGCTTTGTTTTTTGTGACCGCCACAAAGTTTGCAACAAATGGGAAAATATTTTATTATTAAGATATCGGAAAAAATGTTACGTGGGATCGATTCAGCGTACCCATGAACAAAAAAAAATCACTGTCACAGATGTCATGTTACCACAGTCATGGCGACAAATTTGAAAAGTTCGCCTCAAATATGTAAAAAGTGGGGTAAGATGACCAGAAATCGAAAAATAGTAGATAGAAAAGTCGTTCAGGATTCGATTTGAAAAATATCAAAAACTTTCCACTTGGTTCACATAATTCAAAGTGAAACTAAAAAAAAAATCCAGTGCGATAATTCTGCTTTTGTCCCGCGACAAATTGTAAAAAACCAAAAATTCATTTTCAGACCACTCTGATCTTGTTGCAATGACCTACAGAAAACAAAAATTTGGAATAAAAAATTTAGAAAAATCTTTCTAAATGATCCAATACCTTTTTTCTAAATTTAATCAAGCCAATATTTTTGCGAAATGTTTTCGATATTTTTCAAATTACCAGAAAACAGGCCAAAAAAGTGATATTTATTAAAAATCCTTGTACCTTTTTGAAAATTGACACATGGCCGTAAAATCGGATCCTGAACCACTTTTCTCTCTACAATTTTTCGATTTCTGGTCGTCTAACCACTTTTAACATATTTAAGGCGAACTTTATAAATTTGCCGCCATGACTGAGATCGCATGACATCAGTCACAGTGATTTTTTTTGTTGATGGGTGCTGAATTGATCCCACGTAACATTTTTTTTGATATCTCAATAATAAAATATTTTCCCATTTGTTGCAAACTTTTTGGCGCTCACTGTATAATATCCTACATCGTTTTTTTTTTAATTCACCGATACTGCCAAAAAACGTTGGTACCTACATTTTTTGTGACCATAAAACTGCAGATGTATTATTGAAATGACATGAAGAAATAAAAATGTACTTTATTCAATGATTTTATTCCATTTATATATGGAAAGTGGCAAAAAAGTCGCTTATAGTACCTGTTTTAGTTACCTCGTATACGACAAAGTGATCCTGATGAAAGTTGCTGTTTTTTATTTTTTTATTTTTTAACTAAGCACGAAATAGTATATTACATACCGAGGTGGAAAGTGTTTCATTACTGTCGAGAGATTTAAGTTAGACCGAGGCGCAGTTCGCGTCGTTCGTATAACTGTGTTTGCGTGCGGAAAAGTACCACTTTGCGCACTTTAGGAAAATAACTATTTTTTTTCAGTGGTGCGGCAACGTGCGGTAAAAAAAAATATGAGCATAGAAACTACAAATATTGTAGCATCAAAATTGCTCAATACTTGGTGGTAACTATTGGTAACTCAACAGATCTACTTCACCCAATATGGCGATATTTGAAAAAAAAGTGAAAGTGTGATACCTGTAGAACAAAGTCACGAAGCTTTTTCGGGAATAAAATAACTATAAAAAGTGAAAAAAAAAAAATTTAATTGTCGCACAGCGCTGAAATTTGGTATGATGGCCTTATTTATTGTTCTTATGAATATAGTGCAATTTTAATTGCTTCACATGACTGCTGCAATAATTGCAGTATATTCATGAGAATAATAAATAAAGCTTTCGTACCAAATTTCGCTGGCCAATAAGTCATTGAGTAATTGACGAAAAAAAAAATCCGCTGGGGCATTATGAGAGGAATAAATCGGCTGCCGATTGTCGAAAACTGTCACCAAATATTTGGCCCCGTTCAGAAATTTCAGTGAATGGAAGAAAGGGGTAGTTTTCGATGCAATTTACAACTTCCTCGCACATTAGGCAATTCTGTGCTCGCTTAATTTTCAAGCAAAAAATTCGAACTAAAAAGCATTGGAGAGTGCATTTCATTAGCAATAATGTGGTGCTTGAAAAATAGAAATAGGATTATGCATTCGGCCGCTACTGCATCAAATTCGAGCAAACAGGCGAAACGCTGATTCAGTGACCTTGAATAAAAACATGCCACTATTCAAGACGCTGCAGAAAAAAAACTATAGAAGATAAAAGCGTGCTGTCGCTGAGTTTTTTATAACAAAAAACTTCAGCTACAACAATCATTTGAAACTTTTTGCTATTAGACCATCCCTTTGAGCAGCGTTCTCCATAAATTGCAAATTACCCCCAAAAACCACCCCTAACTAAAAACCCTATGGAAGGACAAGGTCGCAAACTTAATATGTTGCACATGAAAATGGACCGATCCCTTCCAAAAAATGTTAACTTCTAACAGAGCTGGGCAAGCTACTTGGAAAAAGTAGCTAGCTACAAGCTACTTTATATTGTAAGTAGCTAAGTTACTCAGTAGCTCAACTACCTCTTTGAAAAAGTAGCTAAGCTATTAGTAACTTAACTACATTTTGAATTAGTGAAAGCTACTATTCAAGCTACTTTTATCAATGGACATGCCTTACCTAATTTAATTTCATAATATTGTCACAACTACCCGCTTTACGGGGGTGACATGGGGGGTTTGTAGCTTTGGGGGTTGATGGAGAGAAACTCGCTCAGGTTATATAAAAATACAGATATATATTTTCCCAAATATAACCTTACATGTACGCTAAACCTATAAGATACATGACCCTTCGAACACTGGGGTCCTTATAGGGAGCCACACGTCAATGCTGCTTGGGGGACTGTAGATTAGTTTATCGTCACCCTTATGCCTTGTCCAGAGGGGCGTTCCCAACGAGAGGTAATTGCACTGGACAACGATAAGGCTGAAGATACCCAGAGGGGCGTTCCCAACGAGAGGTACTTGCACTGGGGAGACTTAATTCCAGAGGGGCTTTTCCAACGAGAGGTACTTGCACTGGTTTAAGTCTGCCTTTGCTGCGGCTTGCAGCGCAATTTATATCAATTTATTGCTGAATTGCAATAAACATTCGATCGAATCGACAATTAAATTAATAAGGTTGAATACCGGGTCCTCCTTTCCTAGGCAGCTAGTTGACAATATCATCATACGAAAATAACATATTAACTTTCACTAAGAAGTAGTATTCATATTTTTGTCAAAAACCACTGGACATTAATTTATTAGGTTCACTTTGATCACAGTGATCTGCGAATGAGAGAATATAATAGGACACATAAAACATAGGTACCTACAGAGAAAACTAGAAACTAGTCTAAGCAAGGCAGGATAAGAATTTCCCAGAAAATGATAATTGTAGCTTGAGCAATTAAAGTATAAAGTTACTTTTATCGAGCGGTAAATTCAAACGCGGGCGATAGGTTGGTGGAAACGTGCCTTTATAAGGGGAAAACTGTTTTTTTTTTTAAAACAATGTCGAATGGATGCCATTATATTATAGGTACCTATAGTTATTTTATTTTTGAACTAGAAGAGTCCGCTGCGCATAAAACGTAATAAGTATTTTGGTCGTTGAGTATTGTTAACCACACCCTCGGGCGGTAAATGACACTTTCCGCCATTAATACCTAAATAACTATTAGCTATCTATCAAAAGTAGCTTAAGTAGCTTTTTTAGTAGCTAGCTACTTTTCACAGTAGCTTATGAATACTTGAAACACATTACCAAAAGCTACAGCTACAAGCTACTTTTTTTTCAAAGTAGCTTGAATAAGTTATTAGCTACCAAAAAAGTAGTTAAGCTAGTAGCTTAACTACTTGGTAGCTAGCTACTGCCCAGCTCTGACTTCTAATTACGTTGAGGTAAACTTCCTTCATTGCTTGGCCTGCTTATAAAATGAGAGAAACCTATCAGCTTAGGATCGATTTCGTCAAAGACAATACTACTACGAGTAGTATTGTCTTTGATTTCGTCAACCGAGAACAAAAATTATTTTAAGTAAGAAAATTAGGATTTAAAGGGCGACTTGGCAACGCTGCAACAAGCCATGATGGAAATTAACAGTTTTCTGCTTGAAATATTACGTTTGCTACCGCGGGCCAGCGCCATCTATGGCGACATTGT